AAAAGTTAGTCAGAAAATGGATGTTTGAATTTGCTGTCCGTTTGGCTTGGAATCAAGGGGGAAAAAGCAGATTTTGGCATTCAAAATCTCTAAAATCTTTCAAAATCTTTCACGATCTTTCACAATCTCTAAAAATCTTTTAAAATCTTTCAAAATCTTTCACAATCTTTCACAATCTCTAAAAATCTTTTAAAATCTTTCAAAATCTTTCACAATCTCTAAAATCTTTTAAAATCTTTTAAAATCTTTCACAATCTTTTAAAATCTTTTAAAATCTTTTAAAATCTTTTAAAATCTTTAAAATCTTTCCAAACTACTGTGAATAGCTTCGAAGATGTTTACTTTAATACAAAAACTCTAAACAATATATATCTTGCTATCTGTATAGAAAACTTTCAACTATCGTAGCTTTTCGTATTAAAGCATATTGTGATTGTCCAATTGCACACCAAATCAAAAGCCATTGCCACGGATCTTTTGAAATTGTAGTAAGTACTCAGTGCTGAAAAATGCTAATCTATACGCATATATAAAAGACCCCAACAGTGTCATCTTTATACATTGTATCTTTTTGTGAATTAATCAAGTGATAAAAAAACCAATTGTGTATGTTTTTCATTGAACCGATGATAACAATCAGGCCAATTCAGCGTTTTTTGTGAAAATACTTGCATCATGCTTAACTTCACTAAGATTTCTATGTGTTTATTGATGCTTTTTGATATGATATATTCAAATGTTTGAAAGTTAGAGAGTATATTTGCGAAACGATAGAAAAAAAAGAATGAGCTCTCTTCTTAGGTAAGAATAAGGAAATTGTCTTCAATAAAAATCGCTTTTTGATGGCAATAAGTTTTTAAAAAACTGAGTCCCATTTGATTTTTAATTGTCTATTGCTTCTCAATCCTCGAAGTCATTTAGCTAAGAAACGACTCATGACCTAAAAGTTCCTGATAATGCCACTGATGTGCATGAAAAAAATACATCTTTTTCTATGAAGCAACGTCTATTGTTTATGTGTTGAGCCAAATGAAATGTTTTATTCTTTCATTATTAATTAACTTGTTCATTAACTAATACAACAAAAAAGAAAATGGAAGAAATGAGCAAAAAATGTAGCAGTAGGGGGATGAAATTAAGAGAAGGCATATGGTGATGTATTCTGACCAAAAGAAGTGTTTTCAATTAGTCACATTGCTTCTCTTATTTTTGAAAATATGGTTGACAAAATTCATTTCATATGAATTTTTTAATTGTTAGTTACAAAAAGTTATGAATGAAAACGACCAAACCCTAGATGAAGAAAATTTGTTTAAAAAAGATAGAAATTTACAGAAAAAAATCATACTTTTCCCATTTTTATTTGTTCGTCTGTTTTACGCGGGACAGACGATCATTTGATAGACGACTGTTTCTTTCTGTCAATAACCAGCATGCTGTTTGTTTATGTAAAAATTTTTTTTCGCCACTAATTTCAACTTCGAAATATGATTTTCTGTGTGCTTCATTAACTGATTCAAAAACTCTCATACCAGAAAAATCAGTTCTATTTGATTGTAACGTGTTATTCGATGTGTTATTGTAGTTATCAGTCAAAAGGTCTCCATCGTGGTTTTGCTCACTACTGTTAATATAATCATAATCATCATTTTCATCATCATCTAAATCCGAGTCAGGAAACGAGTTCGATGTTGCTAAATCAATAAGTCGATTTGAATTCTTAAATTTGTCGTACGTTTTGACACTTAAAGCTTCTAATTCAAATAGATTACATTGTTCTAATAAAATATTTATATTCAATTTAGATACAAGTTCTTGTGCATGTTCAAAAGCTTGAAAGACTATTGTTTCGATTTCATTTACATTCAGACTCTGATTAGGTATTACAGTCAGTTGCTCGTTCTTTTGATGTTTGCGATGTTTAGGAAATTGTAGTTGATATTGTTGATTTTGATGTTGGAGAGATTTGATATTCTGTAATGCTGTCAATTTTTCTGCTCGATGCAAGAAATCTAAAGGAGAGAAATTTGAAGAAAATAAACAATGTACTGGAAAGGACCATTTTCGGGTCAATTGCAATATGTCAAAAAAATATAGAATAATCTCGTTGAAGTACATACCAAAGGAGTATGACTTGCTAGCACGAATATTCGTATTAGTCGCGTGAGTCCTCGAACAATTTTTATGTCTATGGATGCTTTCCGTTTACTCTGGCAAGTATTTGTGTGCGTTTTTCTTTACGGATTTACTCATAGAGAGTGACTTGAGTGCATAACTATGTTATTCGTGTTCATTTTATGCCAGAACAATTATGATTATACTTATATAATTGTACTTACATAGATAAATTGAAGCTCTGAAATGAAAAAAGAGTACAAACTGTGACGGAAATCAAAGAAATTGACAAAAAAAGGCAAACAACTTTTCATTTTGAAATTTTTTATCTTGTCGAGTGGGTCTGAGCAGCTGTTTAAATATATTAACAGATGTCTGCTAAACTTTAATTTTTTCTAAATTTATATTAAAAATTTTGTATTGAAATGCACTTCTAGGTTACCTGTACAATTGCATGGCACAAAATGGACTTACAACACTTGTTACAAGTCAATTGAGATTTCAACTCTTTAAGACATATGTTTAAGATCACAGAAAGGTAATTATACACTTTTCGCTTTTTTTAAAGTGTTTAAAAACTAAGGACAGCTATTAATTAAAAAATTTTCATTTCATTTTTTTCTGTTCTAATCGACACTGTATATTCATTTGTAATCAGACTTCTCTGCTGAGAATAATTTATTTTTCATTTTTCTTTTCATATATTGTTTTCTTACTTTACAAAACACTCGTGAACAAGTTCTTATTGTTAATGAAAGAAGATTGAGATTTTTCTTTTATTTTAGCATCATAAAATGAGGTTTTATAATTTTTTTTTGAAAATATCGAAGAAATGGATGACACTTCGAAACAGAAAAAAATTTTTATTGAAAAAATGCACAAGAGATATGAAATCGTAGGACATAAATGACTGTTGATAATAGGAAATAAGTGATTGTACAGCTGTATAATTGCTTGTCTATCATGTATCTTCAGAAAAATAAATATTTTTGTTTTTTAAATTTTATCGTTTTCTTTGATATGTTTAAAAGATAAAAAAAATTTTAGTTCTATTTTCTAAAATAAAGAAATATTTCATTTTCTTCTTTAACAATGAGGATACCTCTATCTCAATTAGTTGCCTTAAGTACATTTGAAGATAATCTGATAGCTTTGGTCTCCTATTTGTTGTTCTCTCGAATTTTCATTATTTATGGCTTCATTTTTTTTTTATTTAAGTTCATATTTTAATAGCATGGATGTAATACGATAAGAAAGAATAAAATATAGGTTCATTAGTATTTTACATATTTTACATATTTTACTGAAGTACACATAAACTATGTACAAGTATTCAAGAAACATTCAACATTGCACAGCAAATACTGGAATGTTGCACTCAGATACTCAAATTTTAGCAAGAGCATTATTTTGATGAGCATGTTAACTGGAATAGAATCCTAGATTTTCAAAAGACATTCATATCCATTCCATGCAAACAATTATAACTTTGGTCTATTATAAATCATCATCTAAAAATTTAAAAAAACGAAATCAGTAGCGGTCTGTCTTTCTAATTCCAATCCTTCGCCAGATAAATAGTCGAAGAAGTGAATTTCGAATATTCGGTCTGACTTGTACGAAATATTTTTCGCAAGACGCAAATGTTTTCATTAACTTAAGACCAAACATTAGATGGTTTTATTATATTTTTTCTTATTCGTGTTGCTTTCTCAAAAAACTTACCCATCACAGTAAAATTGACCATAGTTGACTGTGTTCCAGTTAAGGATCTAGTACTTCTAAAAATACTTTCACATAATTGGCTACTAAACAATGGAATTTGTAATGATTCTGATTGTAAACTGCCTTGATCAACTAGCAATATTAAGTAGAGAAGTGTGTGTGCGTTGATTTCTACTGAGTAATAGGCAGGTGCTGTAATGAAATATTCGTCTCTACATTTTTGAGTTGCTGATTTAAATTCTGCGTTCAACCATGCTTTCCAAAGGCGGCAGACGAAGACTATAGTCCAAGAAAAATAGATACGATCTTTAATTGGAGTAGCTTTGTTTATGAATGCATCAATTATGTAGCGAAGTAATTTGATATAAAGAAATGTAGCATAACTATCATCATCTGATTCTAAAATTGATAAAACTTCATCACTGCTGATCTTTTCACATGACCTGTAGTTTTGACGATCGGAAGGATCTAAATCAGACATAACTAATGCATGATCAATTTTATTGATATTATTTTTGACGATATTTTCGAGATGATACATGTTTACTTTCCGATTTCCAATGGTAAGATCAGCGATTTCTGATAAAAGTCTGTTCCGCCACTTTGTTGCTAGGTGAGTAGCATCTTGCATAAAGAGTAGCAGTTGTTTTCGTCGTAGAAAAAACCAACTCCACTTATCTGGTGTATAAATTTGAAAACAATCATCATTATTAATAAAGTTAATGTTGGGAAGTGTCGCAAAAAATCCTGATATAAGTTTCATAGAACGAAGATACTTGTAGTCACAATCTATGATAGAAAAAAAAGATTTCATCTTTGTATTCGAAATGCAGCCAGAATATTAAAGCAGATAAGTATGTAAGATCAGCAAAGCTTTTAGAGAAAATATTTTGAAGTCTCTTTAGTGTTTTGAAATCAACTTTTAAAAGAGATACTGGTTTCATCTTATATGTTTTCACTGTAAAATTTAGAATTAAGAAAGCACAGCTTTACGTTTTGCATGTTCTTCCGAATTTTTCTTTCAAAGTAGCTTCAATAGCGTCGACTGAATGAATGCAAAGAATAGAAATGAAGTTTCGAATTCCAAAATGCAGCCTTCTTCGTTGATTTTCTAGTGTAGATGTTCGAAAAAGACTAACGAAGGATTCTCTGCATGTGCCCCCTCTGATTTCAATGAATTTGGTATACAAATACTACATAGTATCCTTGTAAAAACTCTAAAAGCATTTGGATGCATATTGACATTTGACTAAACTATGGAAATTTTAACATGTCCATGTTCTAGACGCTCCTGAAGAATTTAAGTTCTTCGGAGAAACCAAATCTTCGAGTTCCGACTTGAAATGTTGTGCATTTATAGGCCTGAACTACACCAACTTCCATAAAGAAATTCGACAGTTTGGGTCAAAGTCTCTCTGATGTATAAGAATTTCAAGATATTGGTCCGCTTCAATAGATCTTCTATAGATTATGAAATTTTTGAAATCTACATATCTTGAAGATAATTTACTCAAAACTTCTGAATTTTTATGGCAGTTGGCATAATCAAAGTTTACAAATGAAAAAATTTCCAAGTCGAATTTCGAAGAGTCCATTTTTCTCCAAAATCTGGGATCTTCCAAGAGCCTCTAGAAGTTCGATATATTAAATATTTAACAGCATAGCTGAATCTCAATGTGCATCGAGATTCCTAAAGAGGTTTTACTAGGGCACTTTGTAATATGTGTAGGCAAAAGTTCATGGAAAATAAAGGCAATAATTGAGGAGGTGCTCTCATAAGGTCTTTTGAAATAGAACTTCCATAGTTGTAGACCGGCATTTGTTTCAAAACATACCAGTGCTAAAACCGATGATTCTAATATTTCTTTGCTTGAATTTATCGTATATATATAACCAACGTTTCAAAATGTCAGTTGAAGTATAAGAAGCGGATACGCCGTATGCCGCCAAAATCTCAGCTGAACTGAATTGAATTTTTTCGGTAAGTGGTTGAATCATATGCAAATTCAATAGGTGTGCTTTATTGACGTTGTTGAACCACTGTTTAAGCTTTTCGAAGGAATTGGTTTGGAAATAGGTCTCACAAGGCACTCCTTCTTGGAGTGGATTAACAAAACCAATGAACGAATCTGTTTTAACATCATAGTTGATTTTCTTGACGACTCCTGTACAATCTTCAGATCCGAAGACATGAGTTACTTGGTGAGAGTTAAAAGTTTCAGTTAGTGAATCAAATCGAAATTCTGATTCTTTGAAAGGTGACGAGTTTTTTAGTATCAACTGATCTATTATTGTTATACTTGGTAGAGCACATATAAGATTGGTGCGTACAAATTCATAGGTGGTTCGTCCACCCAATACGTAGAGAGATATAGAAAAATCGATAATTGGTTTTGAATAACGATAATGATTCTTGGATCGTTTAAGGTTCTCAATTGTATTTTCAATAAGGCAACATAAAAATGATGTACTTAAATCGTTAGTGTTATCAACTTGATAGAAAGAGATCAATGAACGAAGCAAAGGATGATGTTGAACTAATTGAAATATTTCTTCTTTCTGTTGCTCATCATCATATGCACCACTATCATTTTTCTGTTTGTTACGAAGAAGTTGAATGAAATTGTTTAAAATATTTTTGAAGCCGGGTCTAATGACGAAAGTTCCATTGTTCAATTCAAATGCTAGTTTGTTTCTCAAATCATTAAATTCTTGAGAATCAATCGAAATGAATGAAAAAATATCATCAACGCGTAACTGGAATATTCGAATTTTACGCGAATGGAATAGCATAAAAGAAAAGCATGAATTTATTGATGAAATTGTCCACAAAATAATCAAACTACTCACCAAGCAATCGACAGAATTAATACTTAAAAATTCCAAGTAGCACGCAAGAGTTTCACCGACAGCTTCCTTTACGAAAGAAAAAAAATCATGATTTTTTAACAGAAATACGCTAGGAGGCAACACTAAAGTGCTAGCTAAGTTTATATTTTGCATTGAAAAAGTAAATATATATCTAAAATTATCAGAAGATAGATAAACATATTTATAGAATAAGGAGTTTGTTAAGAAACTATTAGTGAAAGAGTATGAAACGCGAAGTAAACAAACTTCGCCTATAGTAGGCAAGCATGGTGCGAAGAACGAGGAGAGAAAAGAGTCTAAGAATCACCTATGGCTAATTATTCGTCAATTATTCTCATTTCGAATCCGAAACCTTCACTTCGTATTTGTCAAATTTTTTTCTGAAATTGGACGACTTTCAGGTGCCTGGCATCCTTCCTTACTCAGCTATTTTCATCTTAAGATCATAAAAGCGAAACTGAAATTTGTGAATAGGCATTTAAGAAATGGTTGCACACTTCTGTCGTAATGAAGAAAAAAGTTTCAACATTCGTCTTCTAGAGGAATACGTTTCATTCAAAATAGAATATCATTTACAATTCTACCAGTTTTGTCGGCAGCAATCTCTTCTAGCAATGTTTTTCTCGTAGAGGCAAATAAGTTAAAATACTACCACACTCTATCGTCGCATACTGCGAGGTATTCTGAATTTGATCCATCTCAGACTCACGTGTTTGTCAGCTCGATTCGATAACACACTTGAAACTCTTAGTTATTTTTTGTGTTTTCAAGCTATTTATCTTGGGTTATCATCACTTAAACTTAAAATCTCGTTCGTTTTTGTTCCTAAGTTTCTTTTTATCCTAACTCTTGAAAAAAGCAGTATGTCGTCAATAAATGGATTGTGTTATTTAAGAAACTGTGTGTAGAATATAAGTTAATAATTTGAGTAAAACCTAACAAAGATTTTGAAACATGATGGATATCATCATCTAGTGAACATTCCAACTCTGCAAGTCTTTATCAAACTACACAGTCCGTTTTTCAACAGTGTTAATCCTGAATCTTAGTGTTATTAGTCTACAAAATCATTCTTAGCTGACTTAAACCGAAACTTACCCTTTCGTAAGAACACACTAAATAGAATTTAGAACCCGATGGGGTACGTCAATAGTCAAATCAAACATGCTCTTAAAAATCTATGTAACATTTTTTTATTTTTCAATGCTTTGAAAAATGTTCTTCACAAGCCACATGAAGAAACCTTTTCTCTATCGATTTGTGTCATTGTTTTTTCATAGCTCGTAGTCGAATACACTGGTGATGAATTTTCAGACACCTAAACCAGCATTACACATTTACCACATATTCAGTAAATGTGAAATGCCAGCTGTTTTTCACTTGAACAGAAAAAAATATTTATAGTAATTCTATTTTTATATTTAGGATATTTTTCACGAATAGATACCTCAAGATCTTCTCTAAGGTACCGAAGTATTTATAATATTTAGATTTAAAAATCTGATTTTCAATAAACTCTTCTTGAAGAGATGTGTTAAAAAGGTTTACGTGCTTGTCTCACATGCGATAAATGCAAAATCTGTCTTGAGTTTAGTAAATACAATAAGATTGAACTTCTTTTACAATAAAAAAAAGATTTAAGTAGTATTCTTTTGGAACAAAACCTTTGTCATAAATAATACCAAAAAGACTAAAATACTTCTTTTTCTATTTTTCAATATAATACAAATATTATTCATAAAGAAAAGATAGATATTGCTCATGTCATATTTTTACTAATAATATTTTTTCGAGAAGAATAACATGTTCTGAATCTATATTATATTTTAAATGACACAATGTATCTTTGCAGTTGAAAAACAGCTTTTCTTTTTTCACAAATATAATGAATAGATGTGGAACAACACATATAAATTCGTTTTAATCGAAAAACCTCTATTAATAAAATATCCTTTTGGATTTCATTCTTCTTTATCAAATACTCATAACATATATGGAAAAGATAAAATTTATTAACTATATATATATGTATTTACTTTATTGACATTTGATCGTGATCAAAATCAAAACAGATCGAAAACTTAATTTTTTGCATATATGTTATCAGTATTTGATAAAGAAAAACGAAATGCAAAAGAATATTTTATTAATAGAAGTTTTTCGATTAAAACGAA